TGGGTTTTTTCCTGAATAATCATCGCCACTGGCTATAGCTGGCAACACTGATCATTGTATTCTGACAGTGGGGAAGGCTCCCCGTGGGCAGAATATGATAGCTCAGTGGGAGTGATTCCCTTTCCATATTGAATGAGTAGATTGGGGAATAGGTTAATTTTTTTCATTCAACTGGCTAGTTAAATGAAAAAATGAGTCATGTATGGTCTGAAGGTACTTTTTATATATTGCATATCATGCTTGAGTTTACAATAACAGTAGCATATTTCATTTCATCTATAAACATTAAAAAGTACCTGTACTGTGGTTTTGCCCCCAAAAACGTCAAGAAAGGACTAGTCGCCGTCACATGCCTTATTCCACACTGTGTTTTTGTGAAGGTAGAAGAGCAAGACATATTTACTAACTCTTCTTCCAGATTTGGTAACTTCAGCCATCTTGAATGGAGTGACATAACACCAGGCACTATGGCATGCCGATAGTGTACAATGGGTGAGAATGTACAATGGAGAGAATACAAGTGAATAACAACATACATACACACTTAGGAGTTGATTTACTAAAACCGGTGAGTTCAAAATCTGTTGCAGCTCTGCATAGAAGCCAATCAGCTTCCAGGTTATTTTTGTCAAAAGCTTAATTAAACAAGCTGAAGATAAAAGCTGATTGGCTACCATGCAGAGCTGCACCAGATTTTGCACTCTCCAGTTTTAGTAAACCAACCCCCTATCCCAGAGAGAAAAGACTACATGAATAAAAACAAACTGAACATGGAGATTTTGATTCTTACAAGGAACAGTTCTTGACTGATTGTTTTTATCAGCCAAAATTGTTACATGTGTATTTTCTAAACTACATAATAAGTATTTTTACAATCAATGCCATTATCATTTCAAAGCAGTGCTTGTGTATCAACACTATAGTTACAGAGGTCTGATTATCAAAAATGATCAAACTAATAAAAGCCCGCTTGCATTTTGTTTCATTGTCTAGCTTGCACTTAACTGACCTAGGTAAACCGTCAACTAATTACTAAAAGTTACAGACATTTGAAATTCAATAGGAAATAAATGCCCTTCTGGTTAATTAACAATATTCCTAGCTTAGCTGCTGTGACATTTTAACACCGTCAAATAGTACTGTGTTGTCTAAACAGGGCTAAACCATGGGATCTGTACCTACAACCTCTCTCATAGAATTATAGGTCATAGCGTGGACTCTGGGACCCACACTGTGAAGATGTGTCCTTGCTTTGGACTTCTGTGATGTCTGGCCAATATTCCTCTGAGGGCTATGATCTGTCATCTGTTTAGGAAGCTAACTATTGGTTGTGCCAGCTATTGATGCTTTGATCTTCTTTTGCATGGGGGAATAGGAGAAGATAGCTGCAGGGAACTTTTAACCCACTGACAAGAGTTGTGTATAACTGTTCTTTTTGTTCTATGACAGCCAAAGCTTGGCTAAAGGACTCATTGCAAAGGATGAAGTTAGATTCCTTTTTATTTGTACCTTCTAAGAATATGAACACAAACAACAATTACATTTGGGACTTGTAGTTTCAATGTCAGTTTCAAAACTTTAGGGGTTAAAGGGACCAGGCTTGGCTGAGATTTCTACTGTATGCTCATAAAAAGGTCTGGCAGCCTCAACACATTCTTGATGTACATTGCAATCTTCCCATGACTGCTACTTATGTAGTGAAGTGTACCACACTATATGGTTTGCATTGCTGGAAGTCAGTTTTAGGGCACAGCTATTGTGAAAAATACAGTAACTGTATTAATTGTATTCATTGGGGTTGATAATGAAGGCTGATAGTAAATAAGTTGAACCTGTATTCGCTCTGGATACCCAATCACATACAGGGGAATTAACAGATAAAACAGGATGACTGGTTGATTAAAGTGCAAACAGTTTTATTTACTAACGTTAGGGAATATTTACTCTGCTAAATGAACAGTTTCTTTTTTCCTGTTAATAAATCAACACCAGTATATGAATTCCTTTTTTATTTGACCATCTTTGTTTATATTTTTTTCACATTTACATGCAGATGTCCATTAAAATTTACAGTGATAGGGCTTTGGGCAAACTGTAGCACTGCTAGGGGTGTTGTACAACAGTTAACTCTTAGTTTGTAGGGTTTAAATCTTCTTTAAAAATGTATGGCAGTATTATAGTTTGCCTCAAGTCCTCTGACTGTCACTTTTTTTAATAGATAAATAAAGACATGCAAAATTCATTCTGTATGCTGAATACTGTGTTAACTGCATACAGTTTTTTGGCATTGGTATATTAAAGTATGATTTGGATAGTATAGGGAGGAATTGCTGGAATTACATTAGACTTCATTTTAGTATTGCTGTTAAATGAGATGAGTATTTGAGCATTGCTACAACTTACTGAAGATTAATCTTGGCACATAAGCAATGCTATTAAAGAATATACTGTATGTACTACTTTGTCGCTCCAGACTCAAAGATCAAAAGACACCTTGTATATTGATTAACCAGGAAGATGATAAATCAGATGTTAGTAATTTTGGAAGATGGTCACTCATTTTTTGTGGGCTGTGGCTACTGGTTAACAGGATAACGTTTTGTTCTACTAATTAGTAAAATGACAAAAATTACCTTCTAGTCCTAGTGGCTAACATGGTAATTTGGCCTACTAATCTTATTCGTAAGCAGTTGGCAGAAGGAACACTGGTGCTGCTAATTAGTGGTGGTAAAAAAAAAAAAAGTTGTCAGTTGTCAATATTGACATGCACACCTAAGCAGATTAACCACTTGCCCTCCTGAGGATTTACCCCCCTTCATGACCAGGCCATTTTTTGCAGTATGGCACTGCGTTACTTTAACTGACAATTGCGCGGTCATGCAATGCTGCACCTAAATTAAATTTATGTCCTTTTCCCCCCATGAATTGAGCTTTCTTTTGGTTGTATTTGATCACCTGTGCATTTTATATTTTTTGCACTATAAGCAAAAAAGACCAACAATTTTGAGAAAAAAAAACAATATTTTGGACTTTTTACTATTAAACATGTCCAGTAAAAAAATTTAAAAAAATCAAATTTTGTCATAAATTTAGGCCAAAATGTATTCTGCAACATGTCTTTGCTAAAAAAAATCCCAATACGTGTAAATTAATTGGTTTACGTGAAAGTTATAGCGTTTACAAATGACGGTATAGAAAATGGGAATTTTTCTTTTTTTCTACTAGTAATGACAGCGATCAGTGACTTTTAGTGGCACTGTGGCAGACATTCTGACACTGGGGGGAACTAACTTGGTGTCACTGACACCCCAGTGACACCAATACAGTGATCAGTGATAAAAAAAAAGCACTGACACTGTACTAATGGCACTGGGCAGGAAGGGGTTAATATGAGTGGCGATCAAAGGGTTAACTGTGTGCTAGGAGTGTTTTACTAGGGGGCGGGGGGTGTGTTCTTCACTGTAAGCACACTGATCGGAGTGGCTGTACTGTGCACAGCCATCTCGAGCAGTGTGCTCGAGCTGACAGGGAAGAAGATTGTTTGTAAACAAAACAATCTTCTTCCCCGTTGGAGATGCTCGGTAATCACCGGGTGCTGGCGGGGAATTACTGACCGGGACCCAGTGATTGATTGACATCCACAGCCGTGAATGGCGGCAAGGGTAGGGTGCGAGTGCGGCTCCCACATGCCCCCTACTCGGAAATGCAAAATCACGTATATATACTATATCTGCTGTAGTGCGGTCCTTAAGCGGTTAACATCATTTGTTTGTAGGCGGATTGCCTACTTTTAGCTAGATAGCTGGCTGCCCTAGTTAGGAGGGAAGGGTTAATGCAAGTTCCCACACTTTTCAGAACTCTGCCTCTCTCCCTGTGCTGTAAATTAAAGGGGGGAGGGATATGCCCAGAAAGAGCCTTAGGCATGGGAAGAGGACTGCCAGGTGGCCCTTACTCTGGGACACCTTCTGCTGAACACTGCAACAACCACGATGTAGGGGTACTGCTGGGACCTGCAGTCCTCCCTGAAAACAACAGCATCATGGGCTTTCCCATGTATAGACTCTTCCTGTGCAGGTATGCTAGGGCAGCCAAAGCGTTTGTTAGGGTGTTAGAGAGGGAAAGACTGTTTGCCTGTTGTGCTAAAGTTTCTGAAGTGAAACTGAAACTTTTTCATAGGTGGTCTGAAATTATTTAAAGGATAAGAGTAATTGACACCACACATAGTCTACAACTTGGGTTAGTTAAGCACATTGGCATAGGAAGACAACAGTACAGAAAACAGTAAGTGGTTACCAGAGGTAATGGAAGTCTACAACCAGTACACACAGCCTGTCGTGAGGCGTGTACCTGTGAAAGGAGGGGTATCCTCTACTACTGGCAAGAATCTACTGGTTATCACACAATTGCCACCCCTAGCCATCCATGTAGGGCTTCGTGAATGTAGCCTTAGGCGCCTTTCAGATGGGCACTCTTGGGCAGCAAAACCAGGCAGTTGAGGCTTGTTTTCAACTTGCATTAACTGCCTGTCAAAAATAGATATCGGACAGCCCCATACTTATTATCGAATCACACACCAAGAAGAGGAGGAGCCAGGAGCACTGACAGGAGACCTGAGTACAAGAGGTTCAGGGCCACTCTGTGCAATGGAATTGCATGCGTGGCTCCGGGGGCGCGCAGCGCTGCGATCGGTGGTGCTTTGTGTCACTTAGATACAGCGGATCACCAATCGACGGAAAGAGATGAAGATGTTGGCTCGGCCATGTGATCAGCTGTGTCCAATCACATCTGATTGCTTGTAAATAGGGAAATGACGGTTATCGGCATTTCTCTCCTCACGAGTTTTCACGCTGACAGCTCGAGAGGAGAGGAGTGCCGGTAATCAGTATCCCTCAGAGGGGACATGTACACTGATCATCAGGGCACTGATGATCAGTGTGCCCTGATGATCAGTGTGGCCCCAGAAGTGCCACCTGTTAGTGCCCATGAATGCCGCCTGTCAGTGCCCATCAATGCCACCTGCCAGTGCCCATCAGTGCCACATCAATGCCACATATTAGTGCCTACCAGTGCACATCAATGCCACATATCAGTGCCTATCTGAGCTGCCTTTCAGTGTCACCTATCAGTGCCAGTCAGTGCCACCTATCAGTGCTGCCAATCAGTGCCACCTATCAGTGTCAGTCAGTGCCGCCTCTCAGTGCCAGTCAGTGCTACCTATCAGTGTGCATCAGTGCCACCTGTCAGTGCCACCTAACAGTGCCAGTCAGTGCCGCCTATCAGTGCCACCTATCAGTGCCGCCTATTAGTGCCATATATGAGTGCTGCCTCTCAGTGCCCATCAGTGATGCCTGTCAATGGCCATCAGTGCCACCTACTAGTGCCCTGCCTCCTCATCAGTGCCCATCAGTGCCCATCACTGCAGCCGCAGCGCACATCAGTGAAGGAGAAAAATCACTTATTTACAAAATGTTATAACAAAAACTAAGAAAAAAAGTGTTTTTTTTTTTATTTTCTGTTTTTGTTTAGCAAAAAAATAAAAAACCCAGAGGTGATTAAATACCACCAAAAGAAAGCTCTATCTGTCTCAAAAAATGATAAAAAATGCCATATGGGTACAATGCTGCATGACCGCGCAATTGTTATTCAAAGTGTGACATAGCTGAAAGCTGAAAACTGGCCTGGGCAGGAAGGGGGTATAAGTACCCTGTAGACTAATAGTTAAAGTGTATTTTATGGCAATATAAAACAAAATAAATGTACATCATTACAATGCATGCACACTTCCACCCCCCCAGCCATGTTTTATCCCTTTAATAACCTCTGCAAGTACAGAAGTTACCTGTTGATCTATCATAAATGCAACCAGATCCTAAGTTCTGTTGTGGATTGACAACACACAGCAATGTTTGGACTAAGTGTTCTCAGCAATGTCCAACTGTTTTTTGCTAAACGACTCAAAACCTCCCACTGTCCAATCACTACATCATAGACACTAATTAATCTGTAGAATAAATATGAGAATTAGGATGGCTAATTAGACTTTCTGATGCTGGAGAGCCTAAAATCTAAAAGTGTCTTTTTATACCTAAAACCATGTCAAACCAGTAAAACTGAGACTAAGATATTTTCCAGCCATACATGCCATCTTTGGTTACTCCTGGAGGTCCCACTCATCCTGTAAGATTTAAATTACTTCATGTTATGAATACTGGAACAGCAGAAGAGGATGTGAATAGCCAAAATTCTGATGTGGGCAGGAACAGAACCATAACATTTTGACAGAATGTTCTTGCTTCTGGAATCCCCAAAAATGTAACAAAGCCAGCACACAACTCAGACAAGAAACCTCCACGTATACAGTAACTGATATATTACTTTTTATTAAGTTGATCATTTAATCATGACACATTTTTGTACTTCTAAAATACTGCATAATTATATGCCCTTTTCAAACAACTTTCTAAAGTAACATTATTATTTGCAGGTGTAATGTATCTATAATTTATCTTTTTAATGTTTATGCTTCATGTGTTCCATATGCAGCAGTGTGATTCTTAAATGAATAATTTTTGCCCGGTTGAATAGTGACTGTATGACTTCATCCTGTTTTTGTGCTATAAATAAAGGATTAATATGACCTGAAGAAAACCCGTAAGTGTGAAAAGTCTGTTCCGTTGTGGAGTTTTGGAGCTATGCCTTTGAAATTTCGTCTGAAGTTAGCAGAGATCCATATACATCTAGTTTTTCCCCTGATTTTGTGCCAATGTAAAGGAGACTTCTGGAGCTCTATAATGTTATTTGTGTCAGTTTTTCAGTTTAACCCTGCTGGATGTTGAATACTATAACTGTAATGTACAGTTTAGTATCTGAAGTTTGCCATTAAAATATAATTGGATTTCAAATACTCAAGTCTAAAAACAAAATACTCAGAGTTTGGTCTAACACATTAGCAAGGCACATACTTCCAAACTGAAACTTGAAAGTCAAATCAAAATCGCTCTTTTTCTAGTTTTGTACTGTATAAAATGGGGAAGGACAGGTTTTACTGCTATCTGGGGAGATTTATCCTCACTTTTTGTCCTTCTGACAACAGTTTCACCAGACAGGAAGTGAGATAAACTATACAACAGGGACGCAGAAATAAATAAAAAAATAAGAGGGGTTCTAACCTTCTTCTACTCAAATAAAAAAGTGTTTTAACAAGCATTTTATTAATTAAAAAAAAAAAATTCTTTACAAAAACAAATGAGTTACACATAAAAAAAGAAAAGTAGGAGTCAAATTTCTATACTTGTATTTCCATTATCAAATATCAGTCACGGGATATTATATTTTAACACAGATATTTAAAAAAAATTTTTTTAATTATATCAATCATCCTATTTTTTTCCTGACTCCATCTCTCTATAACTCATCACCAGACCAACTCTGTCCACTACATTCCTATTGTATATACTTCAATTACAGTTAATTTATCACCTTCACAGAAAAGCATTTTTATCTCTGTCTGTGTTGCTTATGAATAAGTTACCCTCACTACCTCACTCGTAATGCATTGGGCTAGATTTACTAAAACTAGTGCACTCAGAATTTGGTGCAGCTGTGCATGGTAGCTAATCAGTTTCTAACTTAATTTTGTTAAATTAAGCTTTGACAATAAAACCTCAAAGTTGATTGGTTTCTATGCAGAGCTGCACCAGATTTTGCACCATCAAGTTTTAGTAAATAACCTCCATTGTCAGCAGGACAGAAAATGAGGGGAAACCCCAAATAGTAGTGAAATCTAACAGAGGTTCTAACACATCCACCCTCTATCCTGACTATCATTGATAAGATACTGAGAAGAAATGTTTTCTGGGAGTTTATTGTCAAACGGCAGAGCCTGTCGGTGTGCAGATTCACAAGCAAAATCGTCATTCAAGGGCTTACTTACCTTGCCCCAAATAATACACGCGTCCCTTACATGGGGGGGGGGTTGGAGTATATGACACAGAAATAAAAATATAAAACAAAACTAGACATCCCATAGTGTAAAACCGTAAGAGTTTTAATAATGGGGTCAAACAATAAAAATGCCATTCACAAACAAAGTGCATTTCCTGGCACTAGGTGTATTCAGCCTTGTTGTAGACGAATGGAAGTTAAAATGGCCGCCGCATTCCAGCGTGCGTCCCAAACGGCGGAAGTGATGTCAGCAAAAGTTGCGTCATAAAACCTTGATGCGTTTCGACCAATAGGTCATCTTCAGGAAGTGCCAGATGGGAGTCTGGGCAGATGCAGCTTTGCTTTCAGGTGAATTCCAGTTGCAACTGACATTGGTTTAAGATGCTTCTGAGATCACTCAAAGTTAATTGATAGGAGCATTTGAACAGCAGTTGATCTCCTTCTGACCTGCATTTTATCTCCTTGTAAGAAGCAGCAACCTGCTTCAGGCTGCTTTTGCATCTACATCGCATTGCACGGGGAGAGAAGCAGTTCTGAAGTGAACAAATGGCCCTAGTAAAAACAGAACTCCAGTTCTACTGAAGCTGAACTAATGACACCAAGGTTTATGTTTGAGACCTTCACTCTTGAATTTGTTTAGAAATTATTATTAAAAGATTTGATTCTTTGTCTGTTTACAGATAAGACAAAGCTATTATTATTATTATTATTATTACTACGAGTTTATATAGCGCCAAAGGGTTTGCTCAGCGCTGTACAATAGGGGGGACAATACATGGCACAGTACAACAACAACAAAACAATGTACCCTACTCTTACGAGCTTACAATCTAGGAGAGCTATCTAAGCTATGCAGTAGAATACAGTTCTTGCACGATGTCTCTGAAAACTGCCCTAGAAACACTGGTTGATATGGTAGCTTCTTAGCAAATATAGCGCCCCTCTAGTTAGCCAGGGGGAGCTAGCTAGGTTTTTTAAGGTAGAGGCTGGATAGCAGCCCAACCATGAGTCAGCCTGGGTGAGAGTCAGCCAGGTCAGCTTGGGTCAGGGCTGAGGGCTCTGCAGATCAGTTTCCTGATACTTCCCCCTGCTCTAGAGACTTGAGAAGGTTCTAGAAGGCAGTGGGTATGGGTGAGGAGGGGCTAATCTGCATGTCTGAGGGGCCTTGACCAATCCCCAACCAGGAGACTCGACATGGGGTCAGAACAGCCCTCAGATATGACTGAGCCTGATCACCAGGAAGTGGTCAGTATGTCTCGGGTGGAAGATGGAGCCTGGGAGGGCCCAGGGAAGGGGCCTACCTATAAGCTGATTCTGGAAAAGGGGATCTTCACTATGCTACCATTTACTAAGAAGGACAGCCTGAGCAGCAGGGATACATCCAGCCCAGCAGAAGGCCTGAAGGCAGCCACCAACCCATAAAGCTGTCAGGAAGGACAGTGTGAGTAACCTTACACCCCCTGGGCTGGATAAGGGGAGTGGGCAATCAGGTGGAGAACCCAACTAGGTCCATGGCCAGGACTGTTTAATTTTTGGCAGCTTCTGGATCCCTTTGCCCAGGGAATACACTTAGCACTGCTGGGTGAAGAGGAAGATTTATCTGGGGTCTGAGGAGGTACACTAGAGAGCTGGAGTGCTCTCAAAGAAGAGACATATTTTTGCTTCCTGTCCATAGACTTCTACATAGTTTGTCCTCGCAGTTCACAGTTCCTTGGGCATCCCATGCATCCCTCAACCCCAACCAAGTTCGATGCCTCTTAATAAAATCACAAAAACAAGCCTAAGGACCAGTTACTGTTTCAGTGTGCAAGTGTGGAGGAAGAAGATGTGTGTTGCCTGGCTGTGCAGGACTGTAGGGAGACCCAAAAACATAGCGACTCCTAAGGGGGTAATGCTACACAAATAAGGATTATTGTGAATAAATGTAAAGTTACACTGTGTACTTCAGGCAAAAATAAGCATGCTGCAAACAATCCATGGGGTGTAATGCTGACACATATCCACAGTTGATAAAGGTCTGGGCATAGCTGTAGATGATAGACTAATTAACTTCATACAATGCAATCGGCAGCTTCCAAAGCCAGCATGATAATTTAAAAAAATCAGACTCTAGAAGGAAATAAATGTTTTATCCCTATAGACTATATATACTGTATATACACTCACTGGCAGAATATACCTATGGCCCAATACATTATATATAAATAAATAACAAGCAATATTTTAATTATTTATTGGTATGTTAATTAATTAAATACAGATAATACGTCATACTGCAAGCTAACTTAGACACACAATCATCAACTTAATAAAATAATTATTCCAATTTTACAAAAAAAGTAACACAAACAGTACCCCCAATTAATTAGTTGATATACAGTAGGACAGACCCACTAATTTAGG